AAATAGTCTCATATACTATGAGCGAGGTTACATGGACATAGTACACGAGATACGAGAACGTGCGCGATACGACAATTTTAAAAAAAATAAGACATCCACACTCTTAGGACACACTATGCTAAATAAGTACAATATATTAATATTATTCTGCATATCGCGCAGATTCTAACATTAATTCTACTGAAAATATTAAAATATCTTAATTTAATTGGAAAAATGAAATATCATGAAAAAAATATTTCTCATTTATATTGAATTTTTTTAAAAAAATATTTTCTAAATTTGAATCTTTAGTCAATATTACAAAATAAATATTCAATACTTTTTATGAAGTTATCCAGCTTGTTTATAATCGTGGGTTTTCGGCAATTGAGGTTAAATGTGATAATGAGACAACAATTAAAATGGTCAAAGGAGAATTGGTAGGTCCTCCTTTGGTGTATTCTCTTATGCCATCAATAAAATCTCAGCCTCTTCTTGCGTGGATTTTCAGGTCCTCGATCATCCTCTAAATGTGAGTATGAATCAAAATAACACTGTAGACTATACAATATGGGTAGTTCTCCTTTTGGCTCGTTAAATTGATGAAAACAACTATGGTCGAGAGAATTCGAACTCGATACCTGATACTCCTCACATAAATGAAAATATTAATCAAATTACACATGATCTGCAATCCTTAATCTTTTTCCTTCCTCTCCTTAAAATAACATTCATAGACCACACATTCCCCACATATCCAAGGAAATATGTTTGGTGCCTGGTTTTACATTAGCCAATGCCCTAAAGAGTTCACATGGCTTGTCCAATGAGAATCCAAGCATGCTGGGGGGAGAGGGAGATAAGGTGATGATATTATCCATTTTGAGCCCTCTTTGTTTTGCTTTCTAGTATTCTTGTTTGGTCAAACACTCAAAAGGCAAAGTTAGTTAACCAACCCTTCTGGAATTTCATTCATACCTGAGTTGGTTTTGCCCACTAAAGAATAGGGACAGAAAAAGAAAAGCAATTAAAATTAAAAAAAAAAAAATAGCAATTAATTGATTGGCAACAAAACCTAAAAAAGGGATATTATAAATATACTGCCAAAAGCCAAATTAAAAAGACAAGCTAGCTGATATGTGCACATATCTAGATTCTGTTCCCACATCAAAGCAAACCCATTTTCACTTGCCCATCCTCTTTAATTTCTAGATGGTTTTCCATGCTTTTCTTGTATCCAATAATTGCTTGCCACTCTATTCTTTACTATGCTGACCCCACTTTTTAACCTTAATTTTATTTAGGAAAAATTATTATTACACTCGTGGATATATCCAAATATAATTATTTCATTCTTACTTTTCTAGAAATGTTTTTTGAAATTCATATCTTTTGTAACGTAAAACTAACGTGTCATTTCGTCTAATTTTATAGTATGTTCTATCAATTAAATTCAAAAAACGATGATCAAAGGAGAGAAATTAAAATTTTATTCTTAATACACCTTAAAAATTATTCTCATTTCCATCCCAATCTCCCCTCTCTTTCTAATCTCTTGCTCTTCGCTTAAAACCCTAACTATCATCTCTCTAAGTAAATTTGTACACAAACTCTATCGATTATGGTTTTCCATCTTAATGCTTATTTCTTTTTCTAGCCACGGCGTTGGTGAGTCTTTGCTCGCTTCAGCGCCGCCATTAAAACATCTGAGATAACTGAGTTATGGTATGAAATTCTGCAACTCTTTATTAATGCTCGACAATCTCACTCCATGTCTCGTTGCTCTAATTTTGACTAGTCCCGGTGTCACTTTTAATTGATTTTTGTTTATTAGGCGCCTTGAATCACATTGCACCCTAAAATTAAATTGCCACTAAACGTGTAATTTGGAGCGTTCAAGTAACAAAGATCAATCGAAGTGAAATTGAAACTAGGTAAAAAGTTTTAGGATAAAATTAATGGCTTAGCCATTAATAAATCAAATTGGTTCTGATTAAATAAATTTATACAAATTTAACAGAAAAATTAACTAAATTCAACCACCATAAACGGTGAAGGTGTACTTCAGCTGTTCAATATTAAGATCTGACATGCAGTTTGGAGTCTTTTCTTCTCAATATTTAATGGGAAACATATAATATATTCATGAGACTGACAAAGGAAGCATCGTAGCACATGCTTGTGTAGGAATGAAACCTTCATTCTACATGTGGGTTACTTCATGTCTCTCGAACCCAACATTAAACAAATACAATTGGGACACCTTTCTTACTTGTGGCTGTGGAAAGTCCATACACACAATTATTGATTGTTATTATTTTTTTATTTAACCAAATTCTATCATCAATTCGTGATTATTTTTTAATTTCTAATTAAAATATCCCTAATTATATTCATATTGGAGAAAAATAAAAAAATTTTACAACAAAAGAAAATTATCTTTTACTGTGCAACTTATTTTTTATTATGTCGCGTGCCAATATACCATTAATTTTAATGATCACATTCATTGAATTTCAGATAATAGTAATATGAAATTCACAATTATTATAAAAATAAAAGATATATATAAATTACCAATCAGGTGTTGGTTTGGTTAGTCTTTTCATTTATAGGAGGAGTGAGAGTTCTTGAGTTCAAGTACTCTATCAATATTTTAATTTTTGTGGTTTGACAAAGCTAACTACTTTCAAAAATGATTTTAATAAACAGAAGAATTAGTTAGTTGATTTTTTTGGAAATTACTTATTTATCTATTTTTGAAAACATAGAAATGAAGTAATTAATTTTGTCAATTCACAGTGACTAAATAGTAATTTTACTGATATTTCTTGTTTATCATTTGTCGAAAAAAAATTTAATGATATTTGATAAATAATTTTTTTACGAGAGATTTGATAAATAATTAGAAATAATATATGTGCAGATGCATTATCCTAAAGTGCAAGCTTTTTTGTGGTTTTCATTGTGAACCAGAGAAGCACAATTATTCTAAGACATGTCAGTGTACTTTTTCTGGTGTCATTCAGCATGCAATGAAATTGTGACTTTGAACTGTATAATCAGACCATTAGAGCAGTGACAATACAGTCTGATTACCTTCAGTTGATTGTTTATCTTTCTTACCATCTTTGACGTCTTTAATACCTACCACCACCAACGTGGTTGGCCACAAATTCTGCCATATTTATCTTGGCTATCTATGGATATTTATTATATAATTAAAAATAAAATAATTTTACTTTCCAACCGTCAGATGAAATGACATGATTTGCTTCTTTCTCCAATCACAAGTCTCAAGTTCGAAAATGGTAAGAAGCCATTCAAATAGCTAAAATAAAAAAAAAAGGTATTTTTAATAAAAGAATATTGCACTCATAGCATCCACATAACATGTGTAGCTATCCTAAGATTATATCTAATAATATGAGTTAATACGAAAATGCTAACGTAGATTGCTCTTATTTAATTATCATATTAAAAAAATGGAAAAATTTTTCTAATGTTAATGTCTATTTGTTATGTCAAGTTGATGTATTAAAAAAATAAATAGATATTATCTACTACACCCTCTATTTCTAGGGAGACCGTTAGATGATGTCGGCACTCATTGCTTTTTAGTATTGATTATATATTTAATTATGGGCCCGTGAAAAGAAAAGAAAAAAGAGGATAGAAAATAACGTGAAAGTAGTGCATTGTTGGAGAGAGATTTTTAAAGTTCAACGTTTATAAATAGACATTCAGTCGTATCATCGTTCACACTTATTATATAATACATCACTCAGTAATCCACGTTAGCGTTGAAAATGCTTTGAGCCTGTCAGTTTTCTCACATTTAATAACGAGTGAAAAGTCTCAAATTGGTTTGGGAATAGTTAGTAGATGTGAACATTGATTCAAGTTCATGGATAGCTCAAAGATTTCAGTGATGGCTTGTAGGTTAAATTATTGCCATGTGAATATCTGTTGTATAAACCTACCTAATGGCAATTGGCTGCATTTTCCCATTTCTAATGAAAATATATATTTTCTTTTCAAAAAAAAAACAAACTATAAAAACGTATCTTCCGAATTCAAATTGCTATAAGGACAAAAAAAATGTGCAAATAATAAAAGCAACTTTTTGACTTAGTCAAAAAATTGTAATCTATATAAAAATCGTTGTCGAACAAGGTTTTAGAGATTAAAGGAATAGATAATGAAACGCTAACCTTAATTAAATTTTAGCTAATGCTTAAAACAATTGACAACTATTATAATAAATCATATTATTATGGAAAAAGCAAACATTGAGTTGAATTTTCTTTTATTCATAAAGAGATTAATGGCGTCCTGCTTGATTCTAAATGGATTTTCCTCTCTAATCTAGGAGTAGATTATCTTGATTTTAGAAAAACATATAAATGTTAGAGATGATCATGAATAGAGTTCAAGTCCGATTTTGCAATATTCGTATTCAATTTTCCAATAAAAAAATAATATCTGCTGGGTAACTTTCCTGTATTAAATGGGTCGGATTTTAATTCATTGAATCAAATTAGATAAGTACATATAAAATAAATAAAAGGAGCCTATTTTTTATATAAAAAAAATAATTGACTTAAATTATGTACGTCCTAATCTATCATTCATAAATATATCAAGTTTTATCCACAGAGTTTGGATTGAGTTGAATTAGATTAAATAAACATTCTTAACAAATATCATTGAAATCAAACAAGACAATCCACATTTCTTTTATATATATATATATATATATCGCGTCGGTAAGCCTGCAAAAGGAGAAAAGCGCTTTCAAGTATTTAAAGGAACTCCATACTCGAAACTGAAAAGTTCTGATTAAGGAAAAATGATCATTGTGATCCCATTTTACCACTGGAAATTATATTAGAAGTAATTTTTAAATGCACATAAAGTGGCTGAAAAAGAAAATTTAATTTCCATGTATGTGTAAATATGAATTTTCTTTAATTAGCTACGGACGAAGTATATACCACAGAAGTTGGAAGAACAAAAGCAGCAAGAAAAGCCAGAATTCTTTATATTTTTCAAAATTATGAACAAAAATTCAACTAATTTTGTTAATTAACCTAAAAATTACAAAACAAACTCCTCTCCACTGCCATATATATCCAATTCCAATTAGTAGCTAATGAGGAAAACCATGCCAATTACAGAACTATGGACCCCTCTCTCCTCCCAACTTGTAATAACCACCTAGAAAAATTAGGAAAAAAAAATATATTTATGTACACTATGCACTAAAAATCAATTAACAAAACAAAATATTATACACACACAAGAAAAAAAAAATTAACAAGAATAAGCCAATCGGTTTATCACGCGATCTCTGAGAATCCCATTATAAAGAGCCACTCTATTTGCAGGCATTCCTCTACTTTTAGCACTGCCAGCACCACCGTCACCGCCAGCGGCTCCACCACCAGGTCCACCACCGATTTTTTTCAATTTCGATGGAGCAGAAGAGTTCTTGCCAGGAATAATGCCACCACGTTGCTTTCTGAACTCCTTACTATCCGTTCTTGGATCCACCACATCCTCTGCAAAGTGCACTCTTTTCTTCTTCTTTTTCTTCCCCTCTAAAGAAAATAAAAGAAAGAAAGAAAATCAAGAACCCAAATAAAAAACAAAGAAAAAAAAAACCAGAAATCAAGAAAGATATTTTATTCTTTTGGCGTACCAGAGGAGATACAAGAGCGTAGAACAACTTGATGTGAAGATTGAGGAATTTGGTCTAAAAGAGAAGCGGGGAGAGATTTTTGAAGGCGGAGAGCGAGGAGAATTACGGTGCCGGAAACAGCCATGGCTGTGGCCAGAACCACTCCTTGTGAGCAGAGAATAGAGGACATGGATGATGGAGTAGAAGAAGAAGAGAGAAAGAAAAAAAACTGAATTAAAGTGTAGGAAAAGGAGAATATGCTTTGTGGGGTTTGCCCTTTACATGGGGACAGTCAGTGTAAGGGATAAATAAATAAAGAGAATGGTGGGTGGCAGTGGAAAATTAAAATGTCAACAAATTGTAAAATACTCCCAATCACAACCTTGTGGCACATTAATTATTATTTTAATATTATTAAGATAAAAAAATTGAATTGGTGGTGTTTTCTGATCTCAGAAATCCAAATTCTAAAATTCAAATTTTAAAAAAAATAATGAATACAATGCAATTAAATTATATTAAATTAAATTTACAAAAGTTCAATTATTAGATTGTATTTTTTTTTATTTTAAAGTAAAGTTCGTAACTTTTTATTTATAAATCTACCTTATAATTTAAAAAAGATGTATCCGATTCACATTATATACTTGAAAATCTAAAAAGTTTTTTTTTTCTACAACTATTTTTGCACTGAAATTAGAATTATATTTATGTAAAACTCTCTTAATAACGGTGATTTAAAATTTCAAAATCTAAGTTTATACGTAACTCGGCTTCGAAATTTAGTACACTTTACTACCCTTTCTGTCCCATTAAATTTGACAATTTTAAACTTTTTTTTTTGCCCATTTGAATGACATGTTTAGAAAATTAAAATAATATTAATTATTTATTTCAACTTTACTCTTATCTAAATATTTATATTAAATTTTATCTCAATTAAATGAATATTAATAGCACTTTTTTCTAAAAATAAGACAATTCAATTATTTTTTTTTAATTTTTATAAAAAGTTAAAAACTGTCGAATATGAATATAATGGAACGAAGTGAGTAGTTCAACTGAATGCTTGATTACTTTCTCCACTCCATTAATTTTGACACTTTTTGACTTCTTTTTATTCTACTTAATTGACATTAATAGAAAATGAAGGTAGTATTGATCATTTCAATACACATTGCCACTATCTAGACATGTCCATCAAATTTTGTCTCTTCTATTTTTGAAAGATAATTTTTTTGGTAAATAGTTAAAAGATAATTTAGTCGTGTACTCTTATCTGTCTCTTGAATTAAAGTGGTTCAATCATTTTCCCAATTGTTGTGAAAAGTTAAAAAAGTGTCAAGATAATAAAATGTCACTCCCTTCGTCCCTAAACTCTAAACCTTTTTTTTTTTTTTACCAATTAGTCTTCTCAATTATGTGAAGAGTGAGCGGTTTCGAGTTCGAAACCTCTCGACCACAGTTATTTTCACCAATTTGATGAGTCAAGAGAAGAGTAGCTCGCAGTGTTATTTCAGTGTATTTGGTCTCCTATGAATTAAAAAAAAATTCAATTTTTGTCACATAATTTAAAATAGTTATTTAAATTAACTATAATTTTTTCTTATTTTTTCATATATACCCCTTGGAGATCCTAAAAATTATATATTAATTATTCTTTGAGACCTGAACTTTCAAATACAATGAATGGTTAGTATATCAAAATTTTAAATTTAATTATCTTAAAAAATTTTTCGCTATTTAGCAAATTCAATCATTGTTAATTATTCACACACATTATTATAAAAAAGGGCATTGCAGGTAAGTAAAAAAAAATACAGATATTTATAAAAATATAAATAGGACTATTATTTTAGAACATTCAAAAAAGAAAGTAAACTATCATTTTTTTATGGATAAAATATTTAACCATAGAATTATAAACGAGTCAAACTGAGCTGAGCCGACCTAAATCGAGAATTATCGAGCTCAAGCTCGATAAATAGGCTTGAGCTCAACTCATTAATCTCATTAAATGAGCTTTTTTTTCATTCGAATTTCAAACAATTCATCTTATGCTCGACTCATTTGCAATATACAGGGGTAGTTTACATCTTCTTTCACTTAAATTCTGAAAATTATAGATCCTTAACATATTTAATGATTTCTACATATACATAGACTTGAATCCTGAATTACGAAAATAGGAAAAAAAAATATTTTCTTGGGGTTTTCTCGTATTAAACAAGAAAATAGGTATAATTATGTAACATATTGGAAATTGTTTTTATGCGGTTTGGTCGTTTCTTATTGAAGATGGACTTTCATTAACATTTGGTCGTGTACCACACGGCGGAGAAAGCTTTGTGTTGGCTGATGTCACTTCTTTGTTAGGAAATGACTGGACCTGGAATATCCTATTCTTAGTCTTACTAAAATGACAGATTAATGTCGCCTGCGCTTGTATGCCACGTCCCGGTCACCCAACCGTATATTACAAATGTTTCCTTATATGCCCTTTTTTGGCCATTAGACTTTGTTAGACTAATGACAAATTTCAAATTTAACGGATACATTACAATTAATTGTGATGAAGTGGTAAGTAGTGCTCTCCCTTTAATTAATTAATCAATCAAATATCTCGAGTTCAAATATTAGATAACGAATTTATTACGTTGAAGAGTCACTTTAGAGTTTTCAACTCGTTATTATAGTTGAAATCTAGTAAATTTTTAAATACAGGTGACGAATTCGAATTTGAAAGTAGACATATACATTCAATTTAATACGAAAGTAGAAACTTTTTTTTAATTAAAGTTCAAGATGATTTAATTCCCATGTTCTAATATTTTATACATGCAAATAAAAGCGTGCACATGATGATGGTGCTATGTCCAAATCGTTAAGGTTGTGTTTGGTTGATATGCTTGGTTTGAGTCATCCATGATGTGTCTCCAATGCCAAAATATTGGAGGTTTTGTTTTAGTTTAGAGGCAAAGATCCAATTGAAGATAGGAAAACGACTTGCAACCAATGGAATTAGTGCTTGATTTTACAAAGGTGCGTAATTTATTATATTAATGATAGTAATTTATTTATTTGGTCCCAACTCCCAACGACCGTTGGTCATATATTCCGGGCAGAGGTGCTTAATTAATTAAGACAAAAACATATCATCATTAACATAATTAATTAAGACAAAATCATAGGTTTTATGGATGAAATGAAATGGGATATCTTATTTCATTTTCTATAGCTTAAATACAATTATATTAACAAAATATAATTTAGTAGTGCTTGAATTATCTTTAAAATTTTAAAATTGTAATCCAAGATAGCTTGATCTAGTGATTGAAGTGCATTAGATGCCATCCTAGTGATTACAGGATCAAGTCGTGAAGTCCCTTTAAATGGGATTTTGTAAACGACTAACTATTTTAATAGCTATTAATTGTCTTAGCAGTTGTTAATTGGGCGTTCAAATAAAATAATATGACATTATCGAACACTATGAATAATAGTGATCGTGTTTTGACTTTGATCAAAATGTTAAATGCTATATAAAAATTATTGCGGAATAAAACTTAAGTAATTAGTATAAGTGCCAGAAATAATTAATTTTGCCGAACAAAACTTAAGTATTTCAACATAGAAATTAAATGCATTCTATTGATTTCCAAAGTAAAAAATAATTGAAAACATTGGATTCACGATAGTAATAACTATAAAGAAGAAAATCAAATATTTTGCAAATCAATTTTATGTGAAATAAGACAAAGATCTCATTATTGACAATGGTAGCAACTAGAAAGCAAAGCAACAACTCCTATTTAAAAGAGTAGATAGGGATGCTATTTTTTTGACAACTAATAACAAAGTGAAAGTCTTTTTTCCCATTTTTGTAAAATCCAAAAATACAAAAAAAAAAAAAAAAAAAGGAAGAAAATCAAAATATTTTGCAAAATCAATTTTATGTGAAAATAAAGACAAAGATCTCAGTTATTGATCAATGGTAGCAACTAGAAAGCAAAGCAACAACTCACTATTTAAAAGAGTAGATAGGGATGCTATTGTTTTTGAAACAACCTATACGAAAGTGAAAGTCTTTTTGTACCCATTTTTTTGTAAGAATCCAAAAATACAAAAAAAAAAAAAAAAAAAAAAAAAAAAAAAAGGTGCAAGTGCATTTCTTTTTTCTTAGGCTTTTTGAGTTCTTTCTAGATCCCCATGATGTCGACATTGAAAGTGTCCTAATCCACACAACTATCAACAGAATAGTTGTGGCACCATCTTTCTGCTAAAAAAGGTTTTTTCAGTTGAAAATTGAAAGAAAAGTAGATTGATTGATTTGATTTCAGTTTGGAAAAAAAGAAAAAGAAAAAAGATGATTGGTTACATAATTAACTATACATTAGCCATTACTCAAATTTCTCAAATTTGCATAATTTCATCTTAACTTTTCAGCAGTGGTTATTTCATTTCGTAGAACATTCATTTTTTGTAATTAAGTTAAAGTTGATTAATAATTGTTTCATTTCATTTTATTCTGTATCAAATACGAATAATTACAACTATTTTTAAAATGGTCCAATAATTAAAAAAAAAATTCTAAATTTTAACACTTTTTATAATCTTACTAAATTCTTTTAATTTTATTAATTGAAAAGTGAACTATTTTTCTATTATAAACAATCATGTTCTTAATCCGAAATTTAGTAAATACTAAATATATTTTCTACTAAAAAAGCCACTAAATCAATAATAATTTTGCATGAATTTCCGAGAACTACCGAAATTGCTTAAAGCTAAATTTTTATCTTTCATTAATTCAACAAAACAAGTAAAAAAAAAAAACAATTTTCATATCATAAATGAATTCCTTTTTTTTTTTTTTTTTTTTTTTCCTTTTCCCTTCTTTCCATGGACAAAAAATACATTAAACAGAAAAAAGAGAAGAGTTGACTGATGTTTCCACTAGTTATCAACTTGGCAAGTGTATTTTCCGGTTTAGGTAGGATGTGGAAACTGCTTTCAATTTTTTTTTTTTTTTTTTTTTCCTTTTCCTTCTTTCCATGGACAAAAATACATTAAAAGAAAAAGAGAAGAGTGACTGATGTTTCCACTAGTTCATGAACTTGGAAGTGTATTTTCCGGTTAGGTAGGATGTGGAAACTGCTTCAATGCATGCGTGTACTCTTCAAAAAGCATGGAATTCTTATATTAGGATACTTTTACAATAATGGAAACATTGGAGATCAAGAGCAATTTAAAGGTACCCTGAAATAAATAATTGTTTCGATAGAACCTTTTCTTTTTCGAGAGATTGGACGTTGATGCAAAAAAACTAAAGATTTCACATAATACTTTAAATTCAATTATGTGGAATCTCAAAACCAAGGAGCTGGCACTGAAATTGCAGAAATTAGTAATGAAATTAAGAATGTCATTGAAGTTGGAGTCTCTCATCTATAGCAAATCATAAATTGATGTGGAGATTAAGAAAAACAATAGAAAGTGTGGCATATTTGATTAATTATAAGGTTAGACGATAACATTGTTGATGTGAAATCCATTTACGTTTGGAACCGGATAAGACTTACCTGTACGCAAAGATGTTTAAAAAGGTTGTTTCTGTTAATTTTTTTCCTCGATATCAATTATTTTTTATTAGTTCAGTATACTTACCGATTCATACAACAGGTTTTGGAAATTGTTCTGGTTTGAAATTATCATACGTTGGTGGGTGGTGGGGACCTATATAGACTACCACAAGGACTTCGTCTTGTCGCTAGCTGGAATATTCATAGGAAGTTTCCTCGTTTAGTTGACCTGTATCTGTTTGTACAGCCCAATTAAATTGACCAATCCAGTCCATATTTGGGTTTTATTTCAGCAGTAGTTGGTTTGTAGAACTTGAAAATATCAGAGAAAAGTTTGAATTTTAGTTTTCTTTTAGTTTTTTCTATAAATTTTGAATTTTGAAAATTAATTTTTATAATTCTATTACTAATTCAATTCTGTGATGAAGCAAGGCAGCAACCAAGACACATAAAATAGAGAACATCGAAAATTATTTTACAAAAAAAAAGAAAAAAGATCAAGATTGGTTATAAAAATTTATAAAATATGCTATTGAACAATGTGTCAGAAAAATAAACAGCACTAACAAGTTATTCCCTATCACCAACTCATCTGACGTGTTGGCTTTATAATTGATTAGGTAGTGAGAATAGAAGGAATCAACTCAGATTTGGATCCAAAAACATGCGCCTTAGTATCAGGAAAAAATTCTGCTCCTGGAATCTCTATAAGCTCTCCATTGTGAGTAACCCCAATAGGATAAGTAAGCAAATGGCCTGGCAAGTCATGTACTAAGTTATCTGAAGTGTAGAGGTCCCAATACTTGCTAGCAATGAGGTTAACCTTTCTAACACATTCTAAGGTCTCAGGTTGGCTAAAGGAGTCATCAAGCATCCCTAAGTGCTCATACCACAATGACATTCTTAACCCATGAACTTGACCCCTGGCTGCAGCCTGCTCATTGGTGGCTAAGTAGTGTGGTTGGTAGGCTCCCATTGCTATCTCTGTGTCTCTTGCCCCATCCATTGATCTTTGGTTGATGTTTGCCGATCCAATAATTATGTATTCATCATCAACTGCAACAGGAAAATATGTACATATAGAAATGACAAACTAATTAACCAAACTAATAAAGTTAGAATATGGAATAATTTAACTTTGTTTATATTACCTATCATCATCTTGGCATGAACATAGATCATGAACCTTCTAGCTTCCTGAGCTCTACTATAATTTGAATCATGTTCAGGTTTCTCAGGAGGTTCATGTTCTCCTGTCTTCTTCGTCTCACGATTGCCGAGGCAAAAGAAAGACAAATAGTCCTTTGGATTTGAGTCCAGCCCTTTAGCATGGAGGGCTTCAGCTATATCACTGTACATCATCTCCATTGTCCTATTTTGCCAATTCAATATTGCTTGAACAGAACCACTTTCTGGTACTCCTTCAGGCCACATTGGAATTACAATATAAACCGCAAATCTTTCTCCAGCTTCAATTTTACTTACAATCTTTAAAGACAATTCTTTAGGTATAAGATTCAAAGCACCAACCTCTTCAATCTTTATATCATTTGATTTCCTCCAGCTAAATGAGCTTCCAAGAAAATACTGATTCTCAATATAAATAAAATTCCGTGCTCTTCGAATAGCATTAATGTAAGCATCTTGAATGCTTCTATCAATTATATTATCCTTCCAATTAACAAGACCAACTTTTCTTGCGGATTCTGGATCTTCAGGGAAACCAAAAGCTGCTCCACCATCAATAGACCTGAAAACCTGAACATTCCAGCTTTCTTGATTTTCCGGTGAAATTACAGGAAATGGAGGTGTAAAAATGTCATTCAGTTCTTTAACCGGAACAAGCAAATTACCTTTCTCACCTTGCTTTTTCCATCTTTGCTCGAAATTAAACAAAACATCCCAAGCAGCAGGTCCTTCTATCATGCAATGTATGTCATGCCAAGGCTCTCTTGGTCCGCCTTTCTCAATCGCAGCATGCGCTATACTATGTTGATAAAAATCATTCTTATGATCAGAATCCAAAGTCCTGAAAAGGGAATGAAATTGATTATCATATCTTCCATCACAAAGATCAATTCCCCCGATAAAACTCACAATTCTTCTTTTTTCCGATTCTCCATTTCCCATTTCACTATCTACTATTAAAGTCTTCTGATGATGAGTGAAAATTGTGGAGACCTCGATATCTTGTATAATATTGTTCCAATTTTCTGGTTTACGCGGGCTTAAAACACAATTGACTTTCGAATTATGAAAATAGCTTCTAGTATCTTCATCATGGGTAGCCATTACTCCATCTTTCTTTAATAACTTACAAGAAGTTTTATCATCCCAAACAAGCATTAAAACCCTAACACCTTCTTCAGCCTTCTTCTTTAGTAGTTCTCCAAGAATCACATCTTCTCCATCTTTTCGCCTTTCTAAATCCCTTATTAATTTGATTTTAACATATACAGACCATCCTGTTATGTAAATAAAATGTTTTGCATTAGAAATCGCATCGAAAATGTCTTCCCAGCATCGATGAGGCTCATAGCACTTGCCCCCGGCAAGAGGAATCCTGGGGACATAATTATCAAGAAAATGAGAATCTTGATAAAGGGTAACCCTACAACCATTTCTTTGAGGAAAGAATGTGTGAGGTACACCCAAAACGTTAGGGCTTGTAATTCCTTTAGACCAATTGCTTCCTTTACTGACATCAAAAAATTGTAGTTTGACATGAATCTTTGAACGTAAAGGTTTATTTTTCTTATTCAAGATTCTAAGCCAAGTGTTTAGTGCTTCTCCATTTAAAACTTGCATAGCAGGCAAAGAAGCTCTTCCAATCACTTGTGATCCAATTGGATCTTTGATTTTGATAGAGAACGTAACATTGGAAGCCATATGTGCACAGTAAATATGGAAAGATTCATGCCATTGTGGATTAGAACTTGCATGTTTTAATTCTCTGGTTCGGCCAATTCTTGCTTCTTCCAACTCTATCGTAGCATATATTTTAGAGATACTTTTTCCACATGCAACAGTCCCTTCACATTTTTCAACTATCTGCAAGAAAAAAGCTAGTTTATGTAGCTAATTAAATACTTCAATTGATTCGTTTTAACAATTTTTAAGTTTTTAATTCTCTAACTATTAGCAACCGCAAAAGGCAGTTAATATAATAAAATGATAAAGTGAGATATAGAATTTCCATATTCTTTTTCACTACTAGAACATAAATCCAGCTAGCTCTGCAGGTTTAAAGACACAATATTTATTGAGCTAAAATTTAAAATAAATTCAACAATTTAACTTTTGAAATTATAAGAAAATTACTAATATTTTTGAAATTTTCATGACAATGACAAAAAAAAGAAACATCCTTATGAAATCGAAACTCAATGAAAAAAATATTTCTAATGAATTATACTATAAAATCTAACAAAGTTTAAATATAAATATTAAGACAAAACAAACCAAGGCATAACCCAGTGGTAAATGCATGTGTTACCTTGCAATAGAGTCAATTTGAATCCCCTTCCCCAACACTCCAAAAAAAATATTAAGACAAAAATATTTATTAACTTGTAGTAAAAGAAATGTGAATACAAGATCAAGTAAAAAAGAAACCCTAAAAAGAAATAAGCAGAAACCTAATTCTAATCTCTTCTGAATACAATCCATGCATGCATGCTTTCTTTAAAAATAAGTGTACAAAGAACAAGAGGAAGGATAAAACTTGGTGTATATGTTACATTGCTTGATAATAAAGATGATTCAATAATTAACTAACATATATGTGTACCTTGCAGAAAAAGTTGCAGCAACTTGAACCAGAAAGCCTATCAATCTCGAAGATGGTAACATGGAGTATTCCATGAAGCAGAACAGAAGCCATTGTTGACAGAATACCAAGCTTGATTCAAATCTATATCAAATAGTACCTCAGCTAACGGATATATATAAACATTTTCAAACTCTTAAATATATTCATAGAAAATAAAATAATGTATATGAAAACGACCAAGAGAAAGAGAAGAATGACGGTTAGTGGGATTGGTCGTAATAATTTGTTCTTCTTGGAAAAACTGAATATGAAGAGTTTCGCGGAATGGAAGTTGAAGCAATTTTAAATGAAAAGGTCACAAGCCAATTGTTTTGCAGGTAAGTGATTAGGCGATGGAGCAGGTTAATTAACTACTATGTTATATATTATAGTTTTTCTGTAGCAACTTGATTTTATTTTATTTTTATTTCATTCTACGTATGTTGGCGCCAGCGATGTTCCAATACATTCGGTACTAAATTTACAAGAAAATTCGTCTATTTTTTTTTTTAAATTTACTGAATCCATTGTTGGATTATATATTATATTCATCTTAAAAAAAAAAACATTCGATAGCTTGCATTTGTTTTTCTTTAGAAGTTCCACGCTTTCTACTGGGTCAAACAACAACCACCAGTCCACCCATCCGGCCGACATCAAGAACTGGTACTTTCAAGCTTCATCTTTCAAATAAGATATTAAATATTGAAATTTTTATTTAACTATATTTAGTTATAGATAAAATTAATATGCTCTATCAGAATCCGAATTGACGTGAAAAATTACAGGTTGTATGACGTATGAATTTATAGTTTCTTAAGGAGAAAAAAGGAAGTGGGTCTCATTTGTTTAAAAAACAATTTTTTTTTTGAAACAGAAAATGCTTAATCTCCGTAAGAAACTCGGGCAATTCTAGTTTTACCATATCCTCAAGTATTGTTTATCATTACATTACTATTGAAAGAGACAAAAGTGAATACAAAGACAATGTCAGGACGTTCATTTACATGGACAAGGGATAGCATGAAGCATCCTGAGGACTAAGATCCCGCGCTACCTGGAGTAGATGTTCTATGTTGATTTCAGGATAGTGCTGCAAAAGCCTCAAGTTTGCTGCAAAATCCCCACCTAATAGTCTGCTTTTCACACACAGCAACATTGCACAACATATCCGTAAAAGCATATCCTGCAGAAAGTAATTTCGCTTTCCATAAATTTTCATTCAGGCTGGGTTCATTTCAAGTGAGCAATTTCAGTCAATATGCGAGAGCGTACAAATAAGAGTTTCACAGAGAGAGAGAGAGAGAGAGAGAGAGTGAAAGAAAGACCTGAACGCCAGAAGGGTTGCTCAGAATAGAATCCCAAATTCTTAAGATGGACTGGAAATTGAACTCTTGAGTAAGTAATAATGTGATCCACCTGAATGCATAGAATTGTGGCTTAACCTGGAATTAGGTGACTAGGTACAATCAAGCTTTCCATGATCAAAACGAAAATTAGCACAGTGCAAACATGATGACTGTATGAGTTGTAGAAAAGACTTTGGCACAAATTACACCCGAGAAAAATAAAATGACTAGTACAAAATTAGTCAAAGCTCGAATACATGTAAATTTTGTGAAAGTAATTTATACTATTATTTAATGTAAGCAAAAAGTTCCAAACTATCATCTATTACAAACCTAATTTACCTTGGTTGTGAATTCAAGATGCCGCCATAATTCTTCATCATTTAATTTTAGCAAATCTGTTAACCGGGAAAGTGTGGATAGGATACCGACTGGACTATTATCTAACTGTTGACAAAAGTGATCCACCGAGTCACTTAGCAATCGAACAAAACAAGAAAAGCTGTCAGCTTCTGCATTTGCCTGAAGGATTGAACAACGGAATAAATAAAGTTATTTCTCTATTTAGGATAAATTCAATATACAATAGTTTGATTTCGTTTTTTTAAATGTATATTCTTAGAAATGTGAAGCAAATTATCTCATAGAAAAACAAAAATTTCAAATAATTTAGAACCAAAAAAAAATTATAGTATTTCTTACAGCATTTTGCTCATTGCTATCGGTACTGAATACATATAATATTGGTGCCAAGACCTCATTCATGCCTTGGACATAACAAATAGCAGGATTTAGCTTTGCAAATAGGAGAAGAATATTCCTCATTGCATTCTGCAGTAGAAAATAGGTTACAGATTCAGTCGTGGAGAATTCATTCTCATATCTTTTTCTTACTCCCTCGCTACAATTAAAAGCAGTAAAGGACAGAGAAGCTGAAAAGAATGAAATTGAAAGATGAGAAAAAGAGTCGGTGGTGCCAGATTTTACCCTGTTTTTTCTACTGAATGATGAGTCCCCAGAGAAAAATTTTATGTTTGGGTGTGTGCGCTGCAAATCACGGTCAATCTGATCTGCAATCTCCGTATGCTATATAAACAAAGTGTGCACATATGATGATTAATGGCTCCAGCTAAGTACAAGGAGTTGAGGATGCCTTAGAATTGACAGAAATTTTACCTGAAAGTATTGATTCCAAGCACTGGCCTTACCAACACTTAAGGGGTGATCTTCATGAGAAATTCCTTGTCGCTTAAGTGGTCCAGCAACGTCACCTTCACGATTTAAGCCATCAGAATTCAATGCATCATCATTTTCCTTAGTGAGCTCTGACTGTCTAGATTTAAGCTTTTGGTTAGTGCAAGGTAACAACTGAAGGCACCAACCAAAAAGTACCGAATTGAATATGTGCAATAAAGAATGCATCTGTTTAACTAAAATTAAGAATTTTGTTGATAAGCAAATAGCATACAGCAATCAAAAACTTACAGGACTCAACAAGAGCTCCTCTTTTAGCTTGGCATATTTTTGTCTATTATCAGTCAGCTCCTTTTCCCACAAGTCACGGGAAGGAGGTAAATAACCTAAAAGAAGCTGTCAACATTTGAAATTGAGGATATTCAGGAAACACTCGAAAATGGAGTATTTAAAGATTAGTTTTAATTTAGTACTGTAAGTAATTATTTTCTGTGAAAATTGTTATTAGTTGTACATTATACTAAGAACAAACTTCAAATTTCAAAAACTATTTGTAATACATATGCTCTAAAGTATTTACTAAGTACGAAATGATCTACTCTGCCTGTATGCAAATCCATAGACCTTCCCTGACACAATCGTATTTCTACGAGCCTCACCGTTATCTCTTTCTTTCTAGCAATCTTGTCCTATGAACAATAGTATAGGTCATTTCACCCCATCGTCGAAAAGAAAAACACAAGGCAAGAATAATGTTTACATTACAAATCTGATTATCCACAGTCACAAATTTTGAATTCCCAAGGATGGTTTAAGGCTTTCTCTCAATTTAATCCATAGAAGTAACATTGTCAGCGCTTGCATATAAAGTTCACAATTATGACCCACTACAAAATGCATTCATTATAATACAACTGAAGTAAAATTCATCAGTTAATTTCAGCTTGAAATTTTGAAATATAAGGGAAACAATATAATTAAACAGTACTTAGAAAGTCTACCTTCCAAGTTGTGGCGCGTAATCCTCCTCCTTCAGGGAGGCCTGTAGTAGCAATTCTCCTCAACTTTTCTAAATTTATCTCCTTCTGAGAAAGCTGACCGTAAAAAATAAAAAAATAAAAAAATATCAAACATTAAACCTATAGAAAAAAATCCATTAAACCCAAATTTGAATTAATTACAATAAAGAAGACCATGAGAAATAAAAGCGTTTCAAATACTCACCTCATATTCAAGGTCAGATCTTTTCTCATCCGCCGCAATAAACGCCATCGCCGAAAGCTGGCCCGCTCCATCCTTTTCCGGTCCTTTTCGAACCTTATACTCTTCTTTGTTTATTTTTCCATTAACGCCAACACCATCATCGCCGCCGTCATCATATTCATACTGGTATTGATAATCATTTCCCTTGTCGAACTCGGCCCCATTGGGCTGGATAATCCCAAGCTCCTCTCCGGACTCAAAAACCGGGTCGGACCCTCCATTTTCATCTTCCCTATCGTGGAGACCCGCGACCAAGCTCCCAAGCCGGTCTGGGAAGACGCGGCGAGCTTTGTCGGGAAGCTTGAGCTTGCCTTTGAGCATGTAAGTGAGCTCGGACTGAGTCAGTTGAGGTAAAACGAGCGAGTTGGATTTGTGGGTGTGCGTGGTTGTTCCATAGGAGTAAATTGAAAAAATTGAGAGGAGAGTAGGGAGTCTTTAGGTGGGTGAGTCATGACCCGGGCTTAACTCGTTTGTGAAATCAGTGCTTCTCTTCTGGAGAAGACTGGTAGTTAATAACGGTTTGAACGGCAGTTGTAGCAGAAGATGTAGGTCCATGTCAAAATATCATTTCCTGAAAAAGCCCATTACAGCCCAACTGCAATAGAAACTTGATGGATTACAAGCCCAAAGCCCAGAAACAAACTATATCCAATTGGTTAACCGGAAAGATTAGATTAGTAGTTGTTAATAATTTGAGTCTTCTTCTTCTCAATAATCTGTATCCATACATTCTTGATTCCTACTTTACCAATGAAGAATCAAAGAGAAAATCCAATATGAATTCAAGACAATATGTGCTTATTCCAAAGTTTGTTGAAAATGCTCTTATGTGCTGGAAAAAATGGCACTTTTGATGTTTTTAATTATCAAAATTGGCATAACTTCTCACCAATATAATATTCTTATATATATCCTCGTCTTGTAAAATTATTTTATGATAATCTTCGATATAATTATGAAAATCATATCTTGATATGTTTTGTTCACGGGCAAAATCATTGAAATATATGAAATCATTCCGTATTGTGTTCTTGATATTCTTAGTTAAGAGACGGAAAATTCTTTCCTTAACTTATGGAATCGAGCAATCCCTTTTGAATAATTATTCAATAATAGAATATTTTATTTTAAATGAAAATTTTATCTTTTTTTTCTCATTTTATTAATCACTTTTGTGTTTATAATTTTATTTCAACGAGAATTGTCTAGCTATCATGTAAAGAATTCAGATACGTTTCTGTGGTTATGCTTTTAGCTGAATAGAAAATAAATCTTCCTTGTACTATTATTTTCAATATGAATGCAGTTATTGTCTACCTCTCTTCTCAATAATCAACTTTAAAGCTTGGTCTTGGATTTAATATTGATATCGACTTATCAAATTTAAGATCTAACTATAATATATTTAATTTAGAAATATTAAATCAATTACAATTCTTACAATAAGAAAAACTTGAGACCAACCAAACACTATTTTTACCGGTGACTATTTTATCTTAGCTTTAAAAAAAAAAAAAAAAGATTTGTACATTTTATATGGAATTTTAATGTATTCATTATCATTTTGGTATCTCTTCTTTATTAATCGATTCATCTCATCATTTGAAAGTTGTATTCCACAGTAATTTTTTAAATAGTTTTTAACGTTTTAACTAGATAAAACATTAAATGTTATTTTTTATATTATTCGATAACATAACATTTGAATTAATTTTAAGATATTAATGTAGCATTTTATAAAAGATTAACCCCTATAACGTTTAACCTTTATCATTTTATGAAAAATTACTAAAAGAAACTACTCAAACAACAACTAAATGCTACTAAAAGAACTAACAACTATCAAATCAGTTAATTTTAATTAGCTTTTAGCATTATAACCAGTTAAAACGTTAAATACTACTCTCTCTGTCCCATTTGGTTCGCATGATTTGACGTATATTAAGAATTTAATCAATAAAAATTATTTTGCCTTTCATTACCCTTAATAGCTCATTAAGATACTAAAAGTCATTCATTTGATGAACAATTATAAAGGTTATTATGGAAAAAATAATTGTTTATATGTTTAAATTTAGAAATTTTGCAAACATTTTGGAACATTCAGAAAAGGAATAACAAGCAAACAAAATGAGACGAATGGAGTATTTTTTTTTTATAGTGTTTGATAGCATATGATTTGAATTAATTTTTAGAGATTAATGTAGTATTTTATAAAAGGATAACTGCTATAATATTTAGCTTTTAGTTTTTTATAAAAGAATAACAAAATGACCTAACGTTGAACCTGAGAGAGCAAACCTTCTCAAGGGTTAGGCCCCCAACTTTTTTTCTTTTCAAAATCATCCTTTGAAAATTACATATAGGCCCCTAAATATTTTTTTTTCAAAAAAAAAAATTTCATCCTTCGAAGGCTACATATATAACCAACTAGCTACATTAGAAACCCAAATTAGCTACCTCTCTCTACCTGGTCCTACCTTGCGCTGAAGTTTTGTGCACACTTTCATAACAAAATTTTCTCCAACTAAATTTGGTTGCCTTAATTGTAGAAAATGATTGTAATTGCGAACGATACACACATGGTTAGCTTTGTTAAGCTTACAATAAGGAAGAAAAATATTAGGTGAAAGATAATAGTTCATCTGTTTCAAAAAAGAATACGTGAAAGCTAAAATTTTAGAAATAAGGACCACATTTTCCAGACACAAGTCACTATAGTGGATGATTGTTTAATTTGAAAGGTGATGAGCGTATAAATATTAGGTATAAATTAATAATAAGAAGTTTCCTTACATAAGTTGATGGGATTTGGATTTGTAAAGGAGTCACCATCTTGCATGTGAGTTTGTTATCACCAGCTGGGATTATTAAATTCAAAACCTACATACAAACAAGAACCAACCTTTCAACAATCCATTTGGGTTTTGCTACGTGTTTGATCATGAAACCAGACAATCATCAACAAAATCTAATTCACAAAATGGGTTTAATTTCTCTGTTTAGGATTCAATTCCCAGAGATTATTTTTTGTTATTGGGAATTAGAAATCCATGCAAGGTTCAGCGTCTGTTTGCTTGTAAAAAATTGGTGAAGTTTTTGAAGACAAACATAAAAGAATTTTGAAGTCACTGATGATGAAATATATTAGGTATAAAATTAATATAAGAGTTTCCTTACATAAGTGATGGGATTTGGTTTGTAAAGGAGTCACCCATCTTGCATTGTGAGTTTGTTATCACCAGCTTCCGGGATTATTAATTCCAAAACCTACATACCACAACAAGAAACCAACCTTTCAACAAATCCTTTGCGGTTTTGCCTACGTTGTTTGATCATGAAAACCAGACACATCCATTTCAACAAAATCTAATTTCACAAAATTGGGTTTCAATTTCTCCTGTTTGGATTTCCAATTGCCAGAGATTATTTTTTGCTTATTGGGGAATTAGAAATCCATGCAAGTTCAAGCGTCGCTGTTTGCTTGTACAAACATTGCAGTGAAAGTTTCTCTTTGAAGACAACCATAAAAGATTTTGAAGTCACTGCATGATGAACTCCTACTTATATATATCATACTATATATATATACTATATATACCTTCTGTTCACACTGATGTGTATCATATTGTATTTATTAACCATTTACTGTAGAGCTCGCAACCTAACCAGCAATCTTTGAGCCGTCCCGCCAAAGAACAACTGAGATCGTAAGAACTAAGGAAGTGTATAAATCCTAAATTCTGATTGCTTCCACTGTACTTTCAGGTTAATGTCTGCAAAAGTGCCAAAATATTACTCTCAAACCCAGTTCCTACTTTATTTATGTATTTATTTTGCAGAAGTTTCACATCTGTCATCAAACATTCATTACATATTGCCAGATACCTTCTGTTCACACTTTGTGTATTCATATTGTATTTATAATATTTACTGTAGAGCTGCAACCTACCAGCAATTTTGAGCTGTCCCGCCAAAGACAACTGAGATCGTAAGAACTAAGGAAGGTATAAATTAAATTTGATTGCTTCCACTGTACTTTCAGTTAAATGTCTGCAAAAGTGCAAATATACAAACCCAGTTCTATTTATTTATTTATTTATTTTGCAGAAGTTTCACATGTCATCAAACATTATTACATATGCAGAGTTTTGTCCCATTTTCTAAAATTTAAAATTATTCTCATATCTAAAAAAAGTATAAAAATATTCATAGAAAAATAAAAAATTTAAATAATTAAGGATCGATATAATTTTAAAATCAATTTAAAAGTTACAAATTATATTTATGTATAACCAAATTCGTAGAATTATTAAAAAATTAATTAAGAAATTAAAACTAATAATAGTAAAAAGTATATTAGTATAAAAAATTTTAAATTTTTAGGATAAAATTATAAAATTTTCATTGGGATTGGTTGGTAACCACAAGAAGGCACACATTGACTTGAAATTGTACATCTCCATCCATGTCATTAATCAATATATACATGTAACATCAATATTAATCAAAAGATGTTAACCTGCCAATGAACAAAAAAACTTTGTATAGCGGTTTCAAAGATTTCTTCGTATTTTGTGACTGATTGTGATTTCGAATAAAAAGAACACGATTTGATACTTAATCACATGAATTTGTGATTGGTCGTCATGCAATTATGGATTGGTCGTTATGTAATTATGTTATATTTTCATTGGATGCCGACTAATTTTATATATTTATGATATTTCAAGTATACGATTTGATACTTAAATACATGAATTTTGATTGGACTTTATATCCATTTATATTTTGTTTTCATTTGATGTCGACTAATTATATATATGTATATATATATATAGCAAACGACTTGCTTTACGGATAGTTTATGCATTCATTCACACAGCAAATCAAAATCTCATGAAGAAATTGTTTGTTTTCACTAAAAAAGAAATGATAAAATAACACAAAATATTAATAATTTTTCTTAAGTCACATGTAAAGATTGTGTTAGAACATATTATAGTACATGTGTGTGTTTGTATATGTTAAGATAAAATCAGTGTTTGTATATGTGTGTGTTTGTATATGTGTTTGTATATGTTGACTGTGGTAGAATCAGAAAAAATAATTAGAGGGGACGAAAATTATTTTCCAAAACTAGGAGAGACTATTTTATAGATAGAGGATAAAATTTTTTATATTTTATATTTTATAAGGTAAATTTTTTTTTAAAAAAAATAAAATAAAATTAGGGAGGGCAGTTGCCACTTGGCCACCCTTGATTCCGACGTTGCTTAATGGGTATTTGCTAACTTTAGAGGCGTGCTGCCCCTATAATTACCATCAACAGCCTTCTTGATTATCACCGTAATCATCGCCAAGCATCGATTTGCATACGATAGAAATACCACAAAAGCTGATATGATCAAAATGTTAAAAATTACTTTCTGTCTCAAAATATAATTCATTTTTAGGTATTTTTTATCTCACAATATAAATCGTTTTGAGTATTTTAAGGAATAATAAATGATATTTTTTCAATGTTACCCTTATTCATGTTAGGTACAATAAATACTTTCACAAATAATTACTCTTTCTGTCCCAAAAATATGGTTCATCTTTCTTTTTTAGTTTGTTCCAAAATATAGTTCATTTTTCCTTTTTGCATTATAGTTAATTCTTAAATTGTTTGTTATACCCTTATTAAATTTTCAATAATCCTCACTAATTCTTACTTATTATTTCAATATAATAATTGTTCATGTGTTAATTATAATAATCGCTACTTTTTTTATCTGTATGAAAATAGAAAATGAATTATCTTCTTGAAACAGAAGAAATATTAGTTTTGATATAAAAGATAATTTAATCAAATTCTCATTGGTTTTGTTAATAAAACGAGTAAATCAAAAGTGGTTGCCTAACAGGGTGTTTATCCATAATTGCTCTATAAATAGCATGTCACCCATCCTAACTTGTCTATGTTAAATATCAATGGCTTGCAATGGTTGATTAGTAATTAATAACTAGGTTTAAATAGATTCACCTCCTAAACAAGTGAATGTTAAAAGCCAAACAACAATATTTATTACTCTCTTTGTCTGAATATAAGTCATTTTTTAGTGATTATTTCGTCCTTAAATATAAGTCGTTTTAAGTATTTTAATAAATAATAAATATTTTTTTCAATATTGCCCTTATTTAGATTAATTACAATAAATATTTTCAAAAATAACTATTCACTTTGACATAAAGTACAATTTAGTCAAATTATCTTCGGGTTTGTTTTAATCTATGAGAATTAATTACTTCCTTAATCCTTGTACAACAACTTGACTTATATTTTGGGGCAAAGAGAGTATTTAGTATTAGTAAATACCAACAATCTTTAATTATTTAACTGAATAAAATTTTAAAATTAAATCACTATAAGTCATACAGTCACAATAAGAAATTAAATCAATTTAAGGAGATAGGTTAAATAAATAAATCAAATTTATTGCCTCATTAATCAGTTAAAAATATTAAGAAAAATTTAAATATAAAGAAATAAAATTTATATTGATATGTTCAGAACATGTATAAATTGACAAACTACTTTGGAAATCATATAGAAAATGGGGCAATCCTCTTCCCTTAACCTTTTTTGCCCTTCTTGATATATCTATAAATTACCCCTTTTACTTATGAATCATGGTTTTTCCGTCTTTTTTTTAATGAATTATTAATTTCAAATGCTAAACATAAATATCTATCGCAATAGAAGTTTGTGGGTTAATCTAATGTTCAAAATACATAAAATAGATAACGAGAAAGGTGAACCAATTAAGCCATTTTACATTAAAGATAAATTTGATTCATTCATTATAAATTTAAATTATTAAATAATCCAATAACTTAGAACATTTTATGTTTAAACCGGACTAACTCATTGTAAGTTCTAAATATTAAATAAATTGTTAAATGAATTTATTTAATTGTTCCTAGGGTCTAGATTTAATGATCACCGTATATATATCAAGAAAATAATTAAAAATGCCTAAATGTGGGGGTGTCAAAATGGGTTTAAAATGTAAATATGATTTGTCTAACACGCGAAAGAAATAGGTTAGAGTTGAAGTTAAACGAATTCGTGTTATAAACGTGTCACTTATTTATCACACGAATATAAACGTGTCGTTCCGCAGATTGATATGCGGGTTATGTGAGTGACCAATTTATTTAAAAGGAAAGAGGTAATTTTAGTATCAAATGTAAATACTCCAACTAAAATCTATTTAAACTTTATAATGATATTAATTTTTTTATTTTAGTCATGAATCTTGAACAATCTATGCATTTTATGTATAAAAATTATTTTTAAATATGATTTGAGTTAAGTATGCTAAAATTTAAATAAGCAAGTTAAGTGGGTTATATATAAGTCAACCCAGCCACTTAATCTGTTTATGATATTGCGCGAGTCACACGGATTGTAAATAAGTTAACACGACACACTTAACATATTTATGATATTAATCGAGTTAAACATATTATGTTTCTGTTATCTGCCTAATTTTTGTGTCATATTCATGTCGATAAATTTGATACGATTATTAAATGAGTCGTATTGATTTTAATCGTATCGCATTAGGTAAATTCGTGTCCAACCCGAACACCAACCCATTTTGACAATCCTAACTAAATGTAAATAATTATAGGTCACCTTCTTTATATCTTATTCAAAAAAAGAATTCTTTATATAAACCAAATCAGCCTTTCTCTTCCAAAATGAACTTGTGCTGTTGAATTTTAAATTTTTATACTTTCAAAAAATAATAATGATTTAAAGATTTTTTTTGTTAATAACATTAATATTACATATAGCTAATATATAGTCTAAAAAATTATATATATATATACAATTCAATTCAATTTTATTATATATATAAAACTATGGGCAAAAGATGCAAACTCTAATTAGTTGTTATTTATTTCATGCTTTGTTTATTTATTAATATATTAAATGATTTTTTAAAACAAATTATTTACAAAAGTATTTTAAAATTTTTTTCCGACCCATATTTTAATTTGCATAAGTGATTATGGTGTTCGACTCCAATTAGTAGAAGCTAAAATGAAAAAGTATATATGTGTGTCTGAAATGAAAAAGTATATACTATAAAATAGGCCCATCAGTTTAGATATCTTTGACTTTTCTCTTCACATGGATTTTTAAGCAAGCGGGGTAGATGACACAGGACGAAGGCAGCCCCAGCAGCCATTAATGTCGGTAGGTTAGGAACAACCTGAGTAATTGTATAAGGGAGGAAGGTGCATGTAGTTGACAACACATGATCTAGTTACGTATGAGCATAAATTTCCAAATACACAAACCGTTAGCTCGCCGACCAAAATTGAGCTTCCCCCTTATCTTCTCTATAACTTTCTCATCTCAACTCTTCTTTGTACGTCATTTCCTCTCTGGAACTCTGTACTTTTATTACTATGGTGCATTCAAAGAAGTTCAGAGGAGTTAGGCAGCGTCATTGGGGTTCTTGGGTATCCGAAATCCGACATCCTTTATTGTAAGCTCTGCACCCAAATAATATATGTATAAATGTTTCTTTTCCTGTTCATAATTTATTAATGTTGAAATTGCAGAAAGAGGAGGATCTGGCTAGGGACATTTGAAACAGCAGAAGAAGCGGCTAGAGCATATGATCAAGCTGCAATTTTAATGAGTGGTCGAAATGCTAAAACCAACTTCCCGATAAATCAAGACCCGAACCCTAGCGAGCCTTCATCATCTACTAATGCTGCTAGTTGTTATCAGTCAAATGGTTTATCTGAAATCCTTCACGCTAAGCTTAGAAAGTGTAGCAAGGCACCATCGCCGTCGATGACTTGTTTAAGACTTGATACTGAGAATTCCCACATTGGGGTATGGCAAAAACGTGCAGGACAGCGCTCTGATTCTGACTGGGTCATGACTGCACAGCTTGGAAACAGAGACCACCAGGAGGGTTCTGATAGCACATTGGCATCAGGTGAATCCTCAAAAACACTACCGGTGCCGGAGTTGAAATCGGAGATGGATGAAGAAGAGAGAATTGCATTGCAGATGATAGAAGAGCTTCTTAACCGGAACTGCCCAAGCCCATCCTTTGGAGTTCAAGATGAGGATGGTAGCTTTTTTCTTTAGTCTATAATATATATAACCGGTGCCGGAGTTTTGAAATCGGAGATGGCTGAAGAAAAGAGAGATTGCATTGCAGATGATAGAGAGTTCTAACCGGAAACTGCCCAAGCCATCCTTTGGAGTCTCAGATGAGGATGTAGCTTTTTCTCTTTAGGTCTATATACTATAATATATATATAAATATTATATATATATACTATATATATCTCATTCGAATATGGAGATTTGATTTTCTGCTGTTTTGATTGAGGGAAAATCCTGGTTATGTATAGGTTGCATGTGACATTGCTTATATTATTATTCAATATGGAGATTTGATTTCTGTGTTTGATTGAAGGGAAAATCTGTGTTTGTATAGGTTGCATGTGACATTGCTGTATATTTCCTATTGATAAGTACACCCCAAAACAGAAAATTGATAATAATAATAATATTTGTGAATTTCTATTTTGTTTCCAGTTTCCTATATTTATCTTCTTTTTTTTTTGGTATAGTATTTATTTATATTTTAGTTGCTTAATTATGTATATATTAGTATTTGCATTACAGCTCTGCATTTCTTCTATTTCTCTTCATCTCTTTATTAGTTATTTAAAATGCTAAAGAATTATAATAAAAACAATTATCATAATATTATATTATTATAATAGTTTAACATGATGTTTTTTTTTTTTTGGTAAGAAAAGAGAGCACAGGCTCTAGAGTTACAGACAGTATATAGGATGAATTACACCACTAACATTATCATGGAGAAGCCATGAAACAATTTCTTGAGGAGGATCCATAATGGAGAAACCAGCAGCAGTTTTAGCTAGGAAATCTGCACAGTAGTTTCCCTCTCTGTATATATGACTAACTTCACAAGTGCCAATCTGTTGCGGAAGGTGGTGAATGGCTGTAACCAATTGTTGGATAGCCCCAGAAGAATGGTCTTTTCCAGAGATCAAGTTAAACAACAGTAGGATTATCTCATTAATTTCCACCTGAATGGTCTTTTACATGATGTTTTGTTGCTTGAAGACAACATATTTTGGATTCAATATTAAGTTTATTAATTGTACTCATTTATGTATTATGCACAACATAAATGTGAATGAGTATTACATTTAACAAAATTCACATCCTTAATTATGGTGGTTTAGAGACAAAATTGTACTCAGTTAGCTATTCTTCTTCTTTTTTTTTTTTTTTTTTTTTTTTTTTTTCTTCTTTTTTTTTTTTTTTTTTTTTTTTAATTAGAGGATAAAAGTTTTGGTCGACAAAGTAAAATTTTTTTTTTTTTTTTTTTTTTTTTTAATAGAGGATAAAAGTTTGGTCGACAAATAAAAGCTATAGTTTCAAAAATTTTGGATTTATTGATTCATGAATATCACCTCTACTTTGCCACATGTAAGTAGAAAAATACCTTTCACGTAGAAAAATACTACGTGAATAAAAACTAGGGATATTATTATTTTTAATTATAAAAATATTTCATCAAATAATTTTTACTAATTTTTTTAAAACTTTCATTTTTAAAAATTCATCTTAATTGTTATTATGTTATATTTATTAAGTACTTTTTAAATAATATTTTATATCTCATGTTATTAGAAAAATTTTTTGTAAATTGTTGCATGTATTTGTCTGATAAAATTGTAGAATATCAAGAAAACATATATAATTAAGAGAATTATTGTGATTTATATATTTTTCACAAAATTAAATAAACATAATCTTTCATACATTTCTAGAAAAAAAAGTCCATAATTAATATAATATTCAGCATTGTTTGAATTACTTTTTTGAAAGTCAACTTTCTTAGTAAAATGCTTTTTCACGAGAATATTAAATTCCATTAATCAAACTCCTCCCACTGGAAATTACAATAATTATCATTATAAAAGAAATAATAATTCCAAATGTAACATATATATCGTGCCATGTTGCTTACAAATAAATGCTTAATTAAATTGATACATGCATATTCTTAAATCCTAAGCAATAGGAACAGAAGCAGGATGGGTATTCATAAATTTTGTGTTATTCGTATCCATAATCATTTATAATTTTACTATCTTTGTCCCAAATTCGTTTAAATAATTATCATTGAGTACGTATATCCAAATCTATTTAAAATTTTACTTCATATATTCGTCTCAAATCCGTTTAAAATACACTTAAACGGGTATCTAGGATAATCCGAACTTATTTAAATTATACATTTTATACTAATGATGAGTAAAATATTCTCAAATATCTTTCTTCAAAAAAAAATATATTCTCAAATATCCATTACGAGACCCATTTATATAGCAGATGCCTAAAAACCTTACGCTGATACTCTATCTATATCCATTATAAATAATAATTTTACTATCTGTACAAACTCATTTATAACTATTCATACTCTTGTTAGACTGATGGAAATCGTGCAGTTACTTTAGTCCCAATTTCATCCCCAATTATATGATGGGCTTTAATTAATAAATATTGTTGGCTATGTCAAAGCTACTAATTAATTATAATTAGAAACATAATCTCTTCATTTGATGTGTGTTTAGAATTTAGCTTACCTCCATGTTTCATTAGTGCATTGTTTGTGGAGGAAAATGATGATAAGAGTTAGCAAGACTCTGAGGTCAAGCTATATATATATATATATATATATATATATATAATATATATATTATATATTATTATATATATATATATATATATATATAGTTAGTCAGTGAGTCAGTTGGTGGTCAATTAATGTTTGTAATATTTAATTGGACATGTTTAACTAAAGAAATGTATAAATTAGCTAGTTTTGTTTCTTCTCACATGGTCCCAAACCTCTCACCAAATTTCGTACTATGTTTGAAACTTGAATTCAGTGCTTGGCTACTAAGGTCCCAATTGCAATCGACCCTTTCAATTAATTGGTGCTTCTCCAAAAGCAAGTATAAATTATAAAATGGAAAAAAAATAATGAGGTCCCTAAGTTTTGGCATAATTAACACATGAGGACTTCACTTTACAAGAAGTATTATTGGGTCCCTAAATTTTCATTCCGTTAACAGTATGGTCCCTCAGTCCAACAGATCCCCTTTTTTTTCCATTAGTCTTTACATTTGAAGTCAATCCAATGGGAGAGAAGTAAAATAAATCCCCAAAAAAATTCCAACCAAATTAATATATATGACTTTCTAAAATGGATCAGTATCTCAAACTTAGAAAAAAGAAACCAGAATCGCCTTTGAGGTGAAAGAAGCTAGGGTTTTCATATCAAAGATGTCAACAATGTCATTTTCTTCTGTTGGTGCCGCTGATAGTGGATTTGACAGAAGGAATGTTAACATGAACTGTAGGTGTGGAAAGAATGTCGGAATTCACATCTCTGAAACAGCAAGGAAATAAATCGACTCTACTATTTTTGCCAAAAGAATGTCGGAATTCACATATCTGAAACGGCAAGGAAATAAAACGACTCTACTATTTTTGCCAAAATAATGCTTGTAGATCGTTCCTTGGTTGGTGCAAACCTGTTAAATGTATCTAGCCTTCCATATTATTAACAGAATGGAAATTTAGGTATCTAATAATTGCTTCTTGGAAAATGAGGTCCTCATGTGTTAATTACACTAAAACTTAGGGACCTTTTTTCCCATTATAAAATATATAGCACTTCATTGTATTTAAAGAAAACTATTATCTGGAATGTATATATATGTTTATTCAATTTGTCTAGTTATCTACTATATTAAACAATATATAAAAAATATAAATACACACAATTAACTAAAAAAAAAATCATATCTATTCAAGTTTAGATATATACACACATAGATGTATTTACTTTAAAAAAAAAATCATATCTAATTCAAGTAGAGAGTAAATTTTATATCAGTGAAATTCAAAGTAGGCATTATCTCATAAATAATTTAATCTTTATTATTGAACTAAAAAACTAATTTACTAATTATGGTTTTTTTAAAATTCTTAATCTCTATTTAAAAAAAAAATTACATATTTTATCATGTAATTTATTTATATTAAATTCCTTATCTAAATATCTAACTATATTTTATTTATTACTTGAAGTCGAGACCTACCACTCCCTTCACTTTCTCCGAGACTTTCTCTGATGAGTGAAAATATTATCTAATTAGAGGAAAATTACTATTAGCAAGATTTGAACTTTCATAATTTAATCTTTTTAAAACACCAAGAAATATATTAAAACTTTTAATTTAGGTTTAAATGTTACATTTAGATTAAACGCACTTACCATCAGGTTAATGTATGGAAGTAATTTTACTATTAGTTAATATTCTCAAAATAAATAAATAAAATTCTGAGAGCGAAGGGAAGTATTAAAACCCAAGGTAATGGATCTGTGTGAATGAACCGATTGTTCAAGTTTGGACTAGAATAAAAACTTGAATCAAACATTAAGGTTTCAGTTTGGTCCCAATTCAATTGGTTTAGGATTAATTCTAGTCTAGACAAAGGACTCATTAATTCCGATTTTTGAAAAAAAAAATATTTTAATTTACTCTCTATAATTAGTTTTTGGCCCCTAACTATTTGGGTGGGTTCTATTACTGTACATAAATTCTGAAATTTGGACCATGGCAACCAACGAACGTATGGTCCTCGACCTAATTACTAGGGTTAGACCACCAAACTCATGACAATGTCCAATTTCTATATTTTGATGATTTTTCTTTTTATATCACATGTCTCTAATAATCCAAAGTTGATTCGAGAACTTCTAATAATTTTTTTTAGAAGTGATTTTTCAAAAATGGGAAGAGTTGGTCAAAATTTAAGCTCTAATATCCTAGCATATGAAATAGGTATTTAGACATTAGACTATTAATCTAATGTAATGAGAATCAAATTTGTTCCAGAACTTCAATTAGCTCACCCTCTTCCCATGAAATTAACCTAGAACAATTTGATAATGGCATTCATTATTACATTTTCTTAGTGCCAAGAAAGCATACAACCTTTCCACATTGACACAATAATAATTTTTCTTT